TATTTGTAGTAATTACGTCCATACTTAACGTTAATTTTAAACAGGTTTTTTGTCTTTGCAATATTTTATTACCCTCTCAGCTGTTGTAAGAACAATACAATCGTCCAAGACCACATTCAAGTTGCATTTTTTTTAAATTCCCGTAAACTCCCGAACATGGTCCTGGATCGTCGCCGGATATAAAATAATAAGAACCAGAATTTATATTATACTTGTACCTATTTGGTTAATTTGATGGAGTTTACGTTGGAATCAAATTTGGAGTTACGTCGCCGCCATCAAGAATGTGGGTTAATTTACAGTAATTACGTGGTGTTTAAGATACAATTTAAGATTTATCATCACCCAACACTCTATTAAGGTAATCTAATAGTATTTGGTGTAAATCACCGGACTTATAAGGTTAGTGAATTTATTGTTCCTATCGATTATTAATTACCTACTGCGTTGTGTTAACATTCGCAAATTTTTTGATAATTTGCAGTAAATAAGTAAGAAATTGTATTGTAAGGATACTGTTAGTAATTAATCTACATAATTATTTGCGTATTTACATTATTTAATATAGTTGTGCAGTAGAAATCGTATAGTAGCATTAATTATTATTACCTACACCAAGTAAATGTTTTTAGGCTTTAATTATTATTTATTTTCTCGTTTAGAGTGTTTTATAGTAATAAAATTATACTATAGTAATAGCGTAATTGTAGCATAGGACGATTGTTAGTTTTTTCTGTGATTTCGTGGGTATATAATAATTGAATTAGGTGTTGTAAGTAGCTTAAATAATAAAATTATCTACTATTACTTGAATGTCGAGAAATATTGTGTAAAGTTACTTGTCACTTTAATATTATTAAATTATTATTTGCCGAGTTAGTGCCTACATACTGTATATAGTTAGGTAGTTTTTCAGGGCATAGTATTTAGTTAGTGCATTAGATAGTCGGAGATTGTTATTGAATATTTGTAATTGTATACATTCCAGGTCGAATACTCTCGTCTTCCAGAATGACCGAAGAAAAGGAGTTGATCAAAAAACGAGGTAGTTTTAAAGGCCGTTTAACTGCTTTCATTAGTTACGTGGATTCGCTTACCACACCTTTACAAAATCATGACGTGACGGAATTGCAATTGCGTATGGGTAAGCTGGACACATTGTATAACCAATATGATGAGGTGCAGTTACGCTTAGAATGTATTGTCGACAAGCCCGACTTACAACTAACTGAGCGTTCATGCTTCGAAACTCAGTATTACAAGGCGCTAGCTAAAGCTCAAATTTTACTGAGCGATCATCATAATGCTAACTCTGAATCGGCAGGTAGTGACAAGAGTTCTCGAGTCAGTAATCATAAGTTTGTTAAGTTACCTACTATACAGTTGCCAAAATTTAGTGGATCATACGAGAACTGGTTGGAGTTCCATGATACCTTCAGTAGCCTTATTCACTCTAATGATGAAATCGATGAAATTAATAAATTTCATTATTTACGCGCGTCTCTCGAAGGGTCTGCTGCTGTGGTAATTCAATCATTTGAGTTTTCTGCAAGTAACTATACAGTGGCATGGAATGTCTTATGTGAGAGGTTCAACAACAAACGATTGTTAGTTCAAAATCATGTGTCAGCCTTATTTAACCTTGAAACGATTACAAGGGAGTCGTCTGTAACTTTAAAGCGCTTAGTCGATTTATTAAGTAAAAACCTGAGGGCATTAGAATCGTTAGGCGAACCAGTTCAGCATTGGGACACACTTCTAATTTATATAGTTACACATAAATTGGATCAGAAAACCTACCGTGAGTGGGAGGAGTTTAAAGGTCATTTAAAAAAGGATGAATCAGTTACATTTAATATATTCCTCCAGTTTATGCGTAGTCGAGCTGATCTACTCGAAACTTTAGAGACGTCGCGTAATGTTCACTTTGCACTGCATAGGCCGAGTCCTAAATTAAAATCTATGGTTTCGGTGCAACAATCGAATATTCATAATATAAACTCAAATAAACAATTCAAAGGTTGTTATAACTGTAACGGCGATCACAATTTAGGTAGCTGTCCGCAGTTTCTTGCACTCAGTAATGAGGCTAGATTGAAATTATTATCATCTTACAAGATCTGTTATAATTGCTTTAAGTCAGGACATTTTGCAATACATTGCAAAAAGCCAGGGTGTAAGATATGTAAGCGCCGCCACAACACAATGATTCACGTTACTGAACCGATAGCAAGTCATACCGTACAAAATAAAAATAATTTCTCGCTCGAGAATGAGACGGGCACTCGGACAGGGACTCACTCGTCAATGACATCAACTGCAAGCACTGATGTGAACAACGTCGCTTTATCGGCAAACGTAGCGCATCGTAGTGAACAACGAGATGTATTATTATCAACTGCTTTGATAAAATTACTTGATTGTAATAACGTCGAACACGTCGCCCGCGCAGTATTAGACTGCGGTAGTACATCTAGTTTTATAACTGAGAATATGCGCAAACGATTAAATTTAGATTTTGTCGAAATAGATAAGTCGATTTTGGGCATTAATAGCGTGTATTCTCACGTAAGCAAAAGGTGTCGTGTACATTTAAAGTCGTTAGATAATAGTTATTCCGCTAACATTAATTGTTTCATTTTGCCATCGATTACTAGCAATACCCCAGGTCGCGAATTAAGCATACGTAATCTTCAACTTCCATCGAATATTTGCTTAGCTGACCCTGCATTTTATAAGCCTGCCGATGTAGATATTTTAATCGGGGCCGATCTCTTTTGGGATTTGTTAGGGTCACGAAGAATTAAGTTAGGAAGTAATACGCCCATTCTGCATGAAACCAGGCTAGGATGGATGGTTTCTGGTCCAATTAATGTTCATCATTCTACATTGATGTCTAATGACTTACGATGCAACTTCGCTAAGACTAATTTTTATTTTTGTGGCGATAATAAAGACGACATTCGAATCGACTTAACGCGGTTTTGGCAGCTGGAGGAAATCAGTTCCAAGTCATATCATTATTCACCTGAGGAGAAGTTGTGTGAAGATCATTTTGTAAGCAATACGTCTCGTCTTGATGATGGGCGTTTTTGCGTTCGGTTACCTCTAAAAAAAGATACCGGTCTATTAGGAGATTCATTTAAAAGAGCTACACATTGCTTGTTCTCCTTAGAGCGTAGATTAAAGGGTAAGCCTGACATCAAGCAAATGTATTATGAATTTATGTCTGAATATCAGTCACTGGGACATATGACAATTTGTGAAAGACCTAATTTAAGTAGTGGCGCGTATTTTATACCTCATCATGGCGTACTCCGTGAAAGTAGTACTACGACTAAACTTAGAGTAGTTTTTAATGCAAGTTGCCCGACGTCGTCAGGTATTTCGTTTAACGAAATAGAAATGGTCGGTCCTGTAGTTCAGGACGACTTGATGTCGATTTTGTTACGTTTTAGGCAACATAAATACATTTTGTCTGCAGATGTGGAGAAAATGTACAGGTGCAAATCGTTCATGGCCTGATGACAGGCACCTTCAGCAGATAGTCTGGCGTAACAGTCCTAGTGAGCCTATACAGACCTTTAAATTAAATACTGTTACGTACGGTACGGCGAGTGCACCATTCCTCGCAACACGCTGCCTGAAACAACTTGGTCTACAGTGCAAAAACAAAGCCATAGCGGACATCATAATGCATGATTTTTATGTCGATGATCTGTTTACGGGTGCTGATGACTTAGATGACGTAAAGGCCATACGTCAAGGGGTTGCCGAAGTATTGGCATCGTATGCCATTGCGAAAGTGGAGATCTAACAATCCCGAGTTGCTGTCAGAAATTGCCTATACATCACTTGACCTAAATATTAGTTCTCGCAAGCCAGACAAGTTGTTAGGTCTTGGCTGGCATTCGGATTCAGATGAACTCTGCTTTGCATTGAATTCACTAGTTCCTGATGGAAATACTAAGCGTGATTTGCTTTCAGTGATTGCACAAATCTTTGACCCGCTGGGTCGTTTAGCCCCGTATGTAATCACCATGAAAATATTGATTTTTAATGTATGACATATCAAAATGGCCTTCTCAGCCTAAGAATGTTGAAACATTGCCGGAAACGCGTCATAATATTATATTAACTGCAGTCACTGCTCATCCAAAAAATTATGATTGTTTTCTTTGATTTTAGTCGTTTCTCGAATTATTCACGCCTTGTACGATCCGTAGCTTACGTTTTACGATTCATTATGTCTTGTAAAAGACAGCTTATTTCTTCAAATTACTTAACGGAATTAGAATTACGAAACGCGTTAAATATTATAACTTCAAAATGCCAATATGATTCCTTTTCAGATTATAAATTGCTTCTGAATAAACAAAATTTACCTAAGAAAAGCTCACTTCTTAAATTTAATGTATTTTTAGACGAAAATAAAATTATGCGTGTTGGTGGTCGTCTTGATAATTCTAAATTTTCATATAATAAAAAGCATCCTATATTATTACAGTCCAATCATATATTTACAAAATTATTATTTGACCATGAACACAAAAGGCTCATGCACGCAGGCCCACAGCTACTGTTGGCAAACATTAGAGATACTTATTGGCCGATAGGTGGTCGAAACTTAGCGAAGGCCTGTTATCATAAATGCATACGATGTCATCGCATGAAAGGTAAGGTTTCGAATCCACTAATGGGCAACTTGCCACAGCAGCGTCTCCTTTCGGGTGGCTTTCCTTTTGAGACGGTAGGAGTCGATTATGCGGGCCCTGGTAAAGGTTTATATATGTATTTTCGTCTGTTTCACTACCAAGGCAATTCATTTAGAGTTGGTAGGTGACTTAACCAGCAATAACTATTTGTTGGCATTGCGCAGGTTTATAGCTCGAAGAGGTAAGCCAGTTAATATTTATTCCGATAACGGTGCTTCTTTTGTTGGTGCATACAATGACTTATCCAAATTTTTCAAGGGCAATTGCGATTCTTTGAGCGAAAGCATGGCCAATGATAATATTAACTTTCATTTTATTCCGTCATATACTCCTCACTTCGGTGGTCTCTGGGAGGTGGGAGTCAAATCGACAAAATATCATTTGCTTAGAGTGTTGGGCAATTGTCACTTAACGTATGAAGAACTTTACACCACGTTGACCCAGATCGAAGCAATCCTGAACTCCCGGCCACTCACTCCACTATCTTCAGATCCTGCAGATTGTACGCCCCTCACTCCGGGACATTTTTTAATTGGGCGTACGCTGACTTCTTTGCCGCAACCGGACTACCAGCATCAATCCACTCCGTTATTAAACAGATTCCAACGCATTGAGCAACTGCGTCAGCATTTTTGGGAACGATGGAGCGAGGAGTACGTCTCAGAACTTCAACAAAGAGTGAAATGGCGTTCTTGCAAAGATAGCTTAAAGATAAACGATTTGGTGGTAGTCAAGGAGGACAACCTTCCACCGTTGAAATGGAAGCTGGGAAGAGTCGTTGCAATTCACCCAGGAGCCGATGGTATTGTTCGAGTTGCAGACATCAGAACTTCTACTGGGATTATCAAGAGGGCATTTAACCGGATTTGCCCATTGCCGGTGTCATTTAATTCTGGTTGAAATCAAAGATTTCAACGCACGGGCATGTTGAAGCGCCTGCGCCTTCTTTCTGAGCAAAGAGTTAAACAATGTATTTGTAGTAATTACGTCCATACTTAACGTTAATTTTAAACAGGTTTTTTGTCTTTGCAATATTTTATTACCCTCTCAGCTGTTGTAAGAACAATACAATCGTCCAAGACCACATTCAAGTTGCATTTTTTTTAAATTCCCGTATACTCCCGAACATGGTCCTTCGAGCCGGATTATTATACACAATCGCTATATATATATATTCACAATCGCTGCTCTACTTTCTGTGAGGCCGCTACTGGTCTACCTACTACTTTACTATATAATAAATTACTTACTTACTTATCTTCACGCACAATCCCTGACGGGGTAGCCAGAGAGAACAGATCGCCAAGTGTCACGATCCTTACATACCTCTTTCGCTTCTTTCAGATTCATTATCTTCTTCATATATGCACGTCTAGGTATCCGAGTACTCTTGACCCTACCCTCTTCGAGCAATTTGCTCCTATGGTCTTCGAAAGTTAGTCTCGGTCTACCTCGACACCTTTTAATATTAACTTTCGCGCTATATATTTTCTTCACCATTCGGTCTTCACTCATTCGCTCAACGTGCCCAAACCACCGAAGCACGCCCTTATCAATTTTCGTGATAAGGTCATCTTTCAAACCTGCCATATTGCGAATCTCTTCGTTTCGCTTTCGGTTGGCCATGGTAACGCCGCACATTTTACGAAGAGATCGCATCTCGACTGCATTCAACTTGCTTTTATGTTTCTTCTGGCATACCCAGGTTTCGCTGCCATATAACAAAGTCGGTACCAACACTGCGTTATGTATTGCAAGGCGTGTACTCTTCACCACGCCTTGCCTTTTGACTAACGCAGTCAGGGCACCATTGACTTTGTTCCCGGCAGCGACACGCCTGTCCACATCTAAATCACATCTTCCATCCCGGCTAAAAGCACTCCCCAAGTATACAATTTCATTTACTTGTTCTAGATATTCCTGATTTACCCATATTTCACACTTCGTTCTCTCTTCGTTCCTTTCAAATACCAGAACCTTAGTTTTATTAGCGTTCAAACGGAGACCTTTAATTTCACATTCCTCTTTCATACACGTGACTAATGCCTGCAGTGCTGCCTCTGATGGTGCAATAAGCACTGCATAATCAGCATACAGCAGACAATTTACTTTAATGTCACCCAATTTCACACCCAAACAGCTATCTTTCAGCTTTTGTAGACAGCTGTCGAGATACAGTATGAACAGCCAGGAAGACATGACACAACCCTGTTTTACGCCCGTTTGGACGCTAAACATGGGTGACAGGTCATGCCCTACCCGCACACAGGCTTTACAGTAACAGTAAAGAGACTGCACGGCCCTTAGCAATCGACCATCCACACCATACCCCGGCAACAGTTCCCACATTTTCTTCCTTACAACCTTATGAAAAATAAAAAATAAACTGATAAATTATATTTATAAAAATAAGGTTACAATCTCTTTACGTCCAACTACTGGACATGGGCCTTTTTTCATTAATGAGAGGGTTTTCAAGAGTCGTGGAAACTCAGACGCTAAGCGCTCGCTTTAAATTTCACAGTACGCGAGAATCCTGTGTTCGATCTCCGCCGCTACCAATGTTGATCACTTACCACGTGCTCAACGGTAAAGGAAAACACTGTGAGGAAACCTGCATGTCTGATAAAAAAAAAAAAATAATTCGAAGACATGAAAATTGCGCCATTATGGCTTGGGGCAGCAAGGGGGAGGATTACTTGGCTTTAAATAATTCCAGTAATACAATATATAAAATTGCCGTGTAGTGGCGGTCAAGAATATCCACTACCCCATATCCTCCCGTGGGTGTCGTAAAAGGCGACAAAGGGAAACAGGCAGAAGATGGGCAGCAGCATCTCCCTGATAATAGCCAAAATTATAATAAAAAAACTGCGGTTGCCAACCCGCTCGCCAAGCGTGGCAACTATGGCAAATACCCCCCTATGAATGACAGTAACAAAGAAACGGCCCCAAGTCCCCGGCGGCCCCGCTATTCCTGGCTACGGTGGCGACCATGGTAACGGCGGGGCAGGGGGTGCTAAGAATCTCCGGTGGAGGTTCGGTTGCCATCTTAGACGACTCGACCTGGCAACGTACAACGCACGCACCCTGAGGACTGACGAGAAGATCGTGGAGCTGGAAGAAGAGATAGACAAGTTGCACTGGCATATTATCGGATTATCCGAAGTCCGAAGAGAGGGGGAGGACACGGTAATCCTCGAATCCGGCAACTTGCTCTATCACCGGGAGGGCGACCATCTGTTCCAAGGAGGTGTCGGATTTATCGTCCACAAGTCTCTCGTTAACAACGTTGTAAAGATCGGGAGTGTGTCGACGAGGTTTGCGTACCTTATACTCAGAATCACCAAACGGTATTCGCTGAAGGTCATACAGGTTTACGCACCAACCTCGGCACACCCCGATCAGGAGGTGGAGGAAATGTATGAGGATATCTCTAGAGCCATGCATTCCTCCAAAACCCAATATACGGTGTTAATGGGAGACTTCAATGCAAAACTAGGCACAAGAGAGAACGGTGAGCTGAAAGTAGGGAAATTTGAAATAGGGCAACGGAACCCAAGGGGCCAGCAGCTGGCCGACTTCATGGAGAAAGAGGGACTCTTTATGATGAACTCTTTCTTCCAGAAGCGGCCCCACAGGAAGTGGACCTGGTCGAGCCCCGACGGTTCGACAAAAAATGAGATTGACTTCATTATGACGACCAGACGACAACTGTTCAGTGATGTCTCCGTTATCGCGAGGGTGAAAACTGGTAGCGATCACCGAATGGTTAGAGGCACACTGAACCTAAACGTTAAGTTGGAGAGGTTTCGTCTAATGAAGTCAACGCTCCGTCCCCCTCGTGCTCTAATCCAAAGTCCCGAAACCTTTCAGCTCGAGTTACAAAACCGTTTTCAGTGCCTAGAAGACTGCAATGAAGTGGACGATTTGAATGACAAGCTCGTGGAAACTGTCCATGCGGTCGGAGCTAAGTTCTGCAAGACCCGCCGCAGAAGAACACAAAAACACTCCGATCACACTCTTAATCTCATGGCTGTTAGACGGGAGATGAAGCTACATTCTTCAACAGACTTGACAGCATACAGGCATCTGAACAGACAGATCTCCAAATGCATGCGGCGGGACTTACGCAACTTCAATACAGCTCGTATTGAAGAAGCGATAGAGCGGAACCAAGGCTCCAAAGTCTTTGCCAGAGATCTGTCTGCCAGAAAGAGCCAACTGTCAAAGCTGAAGACCGAATGTGGCAGCATCGTTTCCGGGACACCTGAGATTTTGAGTGAGATTGAGAGGTTCTATGGGCAGCTGTACACGTCATCGTTGGAGCCACACGCAAGTGTGAGTAACGATCCAAGAGCGAGTCTTATCCGACACTATTCCGAAGATATCCCGGACGTCAGTCTGAGCGAGATTAGAATGGCTCTCCAGCACCTTAAAAACGGTAAGGCCCCAGGCGAGGATGGAATTACAGCGGAGCTTCTGAAAGCGGGTGGAAGACCGGTACTTGAAGTCCTTCAGAGGCTCTTTAATTCCGTCATCCATGGTGGCATTACACCGGAGGCGTGGAGCAGAAGTGCGGTGGTCTTGTTCTTCAAGAAAGGTGACAACGCTCTCTTGAAGAACTACAGACCGATTTCCCTTCTGAGCCGCGTCTACGTGCTGTTTTCGAGAGTCATTACGAATTGTCTCACGCGCAGACTTGACGACTTCCAGCCTCCCGAACAAGCCGGTTTCCGAAAGGGCTTTAGCACCATAGACCACATACATACCCTTCGGCAAGTTGTACAGAAGTCCGAAGAGTACAATTTGCCACTATGTCTGGCGTATGTGGACTATGAGAAAGCCTTTGATTCCGTCGAAATTTGGGCGGTGCTGCAGTCCCTTCAGCGGTGCCAAGTTGACTGTCGGTATATCGAATTGTTGAAGTGCTTGTACAGTAGGGCTACGATGGCTATCCGAGTACAGAACCAGAGTACGAAACCTATCCAATTGCAGAGAGGTGTAAGACAGGGTGACGTCATATCCCCGAAACTCTTCACCGCTGCATTGGAAGACGTTTTCAAGCTTCTGGACTGGAAAGGATACGGTATCAACATAAATGGCGAGTACATCACTCACCTTCGATTTGCCGACGATATAGTCCTTATGGCAGAATCGCTGGAGGGCCTAAGCACTATGCTCAATGACCTCAATAGTGTTTCCCAACGGATAGGTCTTAAGATGAACATGGACAAAACAAAGATCATGTTTAATGTCCATGTCACACCTATGCCGGTAGTTGTTGGGAGCACTAAGCTCGAAGTTGTTGACGAGTAGTCGACTAGGTAAGTCCAACTTCGACCGAGAGGTCAATCGACGGATTCAACTCGGCTGGGCAGCGTTCGGGAAGCTACGACACATATTCTCGGCAGACATACCTCAAAACCTTAAAACGAAATTGTACAACCAGTGCGTGTTGCCAGTGATGACTTACGGAACTGAGACGTGGTCCTTCACTGCTGGCCGTATGAGGAAGCTCAAGGTCGTTCAGCGAGCTATGGAGAGGGCTATGCTCGGAGTTTCTCTGCGTGATAAACTTAGGAATGAGGATATCCGCAGTAGAACCAGTATAACCGACATATCCCAACGAATTAGTAAGCTGAAGTGGCAATGGGCCGGCCATATAGCTCGAAGAACCGACAACCGATGGGGAAGAAAGGTTCTCGAGTGGCAGCCTCGTACCAATAGGCGAAGTGTAGGGCGTCCCCCCACGAGATGGAGTGACGACCAGGTAAGACATGCAGGAAGTCGATGGATGCAGGTGGCTCAGGACCGATCTTTGTGGCATTCTTTGGGGGAGGCTTATGTTCAGCAGTGGACTTGTGAAGGGCTGTAATGATGATGATGAAAATGATGAA